GGTTGGCGCCCCCCCCCCCCCCCGGGCCAGCCTGTTCCAGCTTCTGACGACCCTCCCAGTAAAGAACTTCCTCCTTATCTCTAACCTGAACCTCCCTGCATCACTGGAGATACAAAGTTGAGATGAAATCAGTGTGACAGTTTTCTTTACTACCATGTTGAATTTTTACTTTTGAGTGCTTTTTAAAAATATGTTTTTTGCTTTTGTTTCACCATGCTTTTTAGCAGCAACTATTTCTTGCTTTTTCTGGATGAACAGTACAATTACAGGTCACACATCTGAGTTTTTTAAGTAGTTATGTGTCCATCTGGACACTATCACTCTACTCACTCACAAGCCCAGCCTTGACTCCCCATATAGGAAGAGCCTTGTCCTATACAGGAGATTTTCAGAGACATTTCCAGGTATTTTTATATTACTTAAAGCAAGTATTTCCTGTTCAGGTGGCTCTGTGTTCCCACTCATAAGACACTAGATTCCCAGCAGCAATCTGAGAGTACCAGATAGCTGTTATTCCCCTGTATCCCATAAGACAACATCACACATTTCTTTCATTCCTCCAATTGCTCCTGCAGAAAGCTGACAAACCATACAGTCCTGAAGAAATAATGCTTCACCAATTAATTAGTTCTGTAATTTGACATCTGAGGCCTTATATCATCAGGCAAAGAAGAAGGAATTCCTTTCTTTTTGTTAAAAATCAACGTAAGAGCATTGTGACATCCTGGGCTGTATCAGGAGGGGGGTGGTTGTAGGGCAGAGAGGTTCTCCTCCCCCTCTACTCTGCCCTGGTGAGACCGCATCTGGAATATTGCGTCCAGTTCTGGCCCCTCAGGTCAAGAAGGACAGGAACTGCTGGAGAGAGTCCAGCGTAGGGCTACAAAGATGATCAAGGGAGTGGAGCATCTCCCTTCTGAGGAGCGGCTGAGGGAGCTGGGGCTCTTTAGTTTGCAGAAGAGGAGACTGAGGGGAGACCTCATTCATGTTTATAAATATTTAAAGGGTGAGTGTCACGAGGATGGAGCCAGGCTCTTCTCGGTGACAAA